AGAGCCGGAGCCGGCCGTCGGGACCAGCCAGCTGCTGCCATGCCCCTGCTCCCGGCCCCAGGCAGAGCTCGACCCCCGCTACCGCCGGAGCAGAGGTGCCAAGCGCGGCTCCCCAAGGCCAGCCGTGGGGTGGGGGGATGGCAGAGGGTGCCCTCCTGTTCTGGGCGCAGCCATGATTCCCCCACACCCTTTCAGGCCCAACAGACACCTCTGTGAGGATGCTGCGCACTGCATCCCCCAGCCCGGCCGGAGCTGGGGTGAGGTGTTTGTACCGAGACGGGAGCTTGCTGGAAGGCTGGCAGGAGAGAGCATGGAGCCTCCCCATCCACCCCACCACTGGTAAGCAGGCACCGGCACCCCTTTGGCCTAAAACACCCCGAGCACCAAGAGCTCTGCAGCAATCCTTCACTGGGCTTGGAAACCCCCAGCACCCAGACACCTTCCCCACAGACAGGGAGCTGGAGGCGTTCGACTGGTGCTGTCGGCGTGTTGGGAAGCCCCTGTTCTGCACCAGGTTTGCTGAGAAAAGACCGAGGGTCGGCTGTGAGGGATACGTGCCACCCACCCCCGGTGAGTCCCCCGGGCTCTGCCTCTGCCGTGCCATGGTACTGAGTGGGTGTCACGGACGTACGCAGACCCTGCGGTGAGTCCCCCGGGCTCTGCCTCTGCTGTGCCATGGTACTGAGTGGGTGTCACGGCCGTACGCAGACCCTGTGCATTAACCACACTTGGCAACATCCCGGTGGGGACTGCTGAGCCCAGCACAGCACGTGGGCCGGCTCTCCTCCAAGCAATGGCACCACCATTTGCTTTTCTCCCTCCCTCCACAATGGCTCCATCTTCTTTGGACCCCAGCTGGTGCCTTCGGGGACCCCCACATCACCACCCTGGATGGACTCACCTACACCTTCAATGGGCTCGGGGACTTTGTCCTGCTACTGGCCAGGGATGCCCTGACCAGCTTTGTGCTGCATGGGCGCACAGCCCGGACCGGCATGGCCCAGGCTACCAACTTCGTGGCTTTTGCTGCCCGGTACATCTCCACATCCACCACAACAGTGAGTAGGAGCAACCTGGGTACCAGTCTGACCCCTCTGGCAGGTTGGGCATCGCCTCTGCGTCACTTACAACTGGCTGGGACCGGAGGAGCATCCCCTCTCCTCTTCCTCCCACCTCCCACAACCCCAGCAAAGTGCTATTAGCGATGGGATGGATGAAGACTGATGAGATGCAGCACCAACAGCTTTTACAAGCTGTCCAGCAAGGACCTGGATCTCAGCAGGACTCTTCATTGCACGTCCTTCGCCCTCACCACTGGTTTCCTCCAGACACGCTGGCACAAGCGCGTGCTCTTCCTTGCTTGGCAGAATTGCTCCCCACGCCCGTTTCAGAAAGCAGAATCCCCTGGGGTCACCAGAAGCAGCTGTTGAGCAGCATTGTGGGGGGGGAGCTCAGGGCCTGGAGCCCACCGGCACAGCTCTCCATGCTGCCACGGTCAGCCGAGCCCTGTGCCAGCAGTGGAGGGGGGCAGCTGCTGTCCCCTTCTGTGCAACCATCAAAGCAGCTTTCTCGTGTGTTTGCTGGGGTGAAGCGTAAATCAACACGCCCCCCGGGACTGAGCCTCTCTGCCGGGGCTGGCGGAGGTTTAGCTCGAGTGTCCCCAGTATAGGGGGACAGTGGGGAGAGGCTGACTGGGACATCTACCGTGAATTACAGGTTGAGTGGACTCTGGGGAGCCAAGGTGACATCCAAGTCCTCCTGAACAACGAAACCATCAAGTTTTCCTATTCCCAAGGTGAGCAAGATGTTAAATGTATCTGTGGGGGATGAAGGGTGTTGCCATCCCCCTGGGATGGCTCGGGGGCAGCAATCCTGAGCTCTGCCAGACGCCTCCCACCTGCACTCTGTCTCTGACTTGGCTGGGGTGGATGGGGAGTCCAACCCTCCCAAAATCCAGGGGCATCGTTTCAGACCCCAGCCTTGCATGGACTCTCGCTCTGTGCTCTCCTTCTCTTGCAGACATGGGTGCCGAGGTGTACCACAGCCCCGCCATCCTGCTGGTCAACACCTCCTCTGTCACGGCCGTCTTCAACGGGGCCATCTCTGTCTCCATCTCAGCCACCTCCAGGATCCTCAGCATGGTCTGCAGCCTGCCTGATCAGTACCGCAACAGCACCAAGGGCCTCCTGGGTGAGGGCTTCTGGCACCTCTGCAGAGTCAGGGTGCAAAGGCCCTTTCCCACCCTGCAGCAGTCTGGAAAGTGCTGGGGGAATGCGCTTGTGAGGGCAGGGACCCCTGGGTCTAAACCAAACACTGACCAGCTCCAGAGAGGTCAGCCCTGGCATGGGGGACTCCAGCTCCCTGGTAATGCTCCATCAGGTGTGTGGGACCACGACCCCGCAGACGACTTCCGGATGCCGAACGGTACCAGCATCCCCATGAACAGCAGCGAGGAGGAGATCTACGGCTATGGAATGACCTGTAAGTCCAAGCTTGGGATCCACCTTGATGAACCCTCTGTTCCTGCATCTTTGGCTGGAGACATTTAGACACTTGCCTGAGCAAAAGTGATGTCAGGGAAACTCTTTGGCCTCCTCTCTGCTCTGTGGAAATCAGCCCTAGCATATAACAACCCTTAAAAACCCAAGGCTGTACCTGTGGTGTGTTCTCTTGCAGGGGCTGTTGGAGAGCACAGCCTGTTTGTTCAGCCTCTGGACTCACCGGTAATGAACTTCACACCCATCTTCTTGTCTCGGCTGCGGCAGGGGGACGGGAACGACGACACACCAGCCAGGCGGGGGCAGGAGAACGTAAGCCAGTACCAGCTGGCAGCCTCGCAGTGCCACGGCAGCAAGGAGTGCATCTACGACTCACTGAGCACAGGGGATGTGGCTCTGGGCCTGGCCACCCAGAGTCTCGCAGCCGACTTCCAGCAGAAGAAGACAGTACTTAGTAAGTGGAGAAGATGCTCACCTCCAAGGTAACCAAGCAGTGCTCTGCTCCCTCCCTGGTCTCTCTCCATGTGAGGCAGGAGAGAAGTCATTGAGGTCTCTGAGTTGCCTGGCTTGCTGCTCTCCAAACCTGGGAGATGTCACCATGCTGTGCAACACAAGGGTCTTGTCAGTGGGCAGTCGTGGCAGCACCTGTCAGGGGTCCCATCCTCACTAAGAAGGACCCATAGCCAAGGGGTGCCAAGGCCGCATAGCAAACAGCCAGCCATGTGCTGGGCTGCTCTTTCCGCAGATGCCTTCCCTCCTGTCATCACCGGTGACGCGTCCCTCACGGCCTTCAGGACAGAAAGGGTCAGGAGGCAGTACCGTGCCGTGGGAGTGGGCGCACGCTTTGTCCCCCACCTTTCGCCAGAACTCAACATATCAGGTAATGATGGGACAGCTGGGATGGGATAGGGGGACACTGGCCACCCAGCTCCTTTCCTCTGCCACCTCCTCTAACTCCCACCTCTTCCCCTGGCAGAGAACGGCACCCTGACGTGGGAGCCTCGTGGGATGGCCCCTCTTTCCATCAGCCTGGAGGCTGTCGGGTCCAACAACCTCTCCGCCCTCCTCCAGCTCCGTTTCACTCTTTGCAGCTGCAGCAGGAGCCAGGAGTGTGACTACAGTGACACCGTCACTCTCGGGGGGTCCTCCCTGCAGGTAGCATGCCAAAAGCTCCCCCGGTGTCATATCGTGCCTGTCTCTCTGCCAGCTGCAGCAGCTGTCTTTTCTGGCGACCCTCCTCCTTGTGTCCCCTAAGCCAGTGTCACTGTCCCCTTCCCAGCTGGCAGCCTGCAGGTGTGAGGGCGGCTACTTGGGTCCCTTCTGCCAGGACCCTCCAGATCCCTGTGCTCAGGGATGCTTCCCCGGCGTGGGCTGCGACTCGCAATCCGGCTGCGGCCCTTGTCCGGCTGGCCTGACCGGTGACGGACGGCACTGCTCAGGTGACGAGGCCTTGGCATGGTCACAGGGAACCCAGGGAGACTGTGGAACCCCAGCGAGGTATTTGTCCTGGTGCCACGCTTCATTGCCTCGGCAGATATCGATGAGTGCGCGCAAGGGACGGCGTGCCTGGAGAATGCCACCTGCACCAACACGATGGGCAGCTACGCCTGCTCCTGCCCCACCGGCGAGGAGGGTGAGTATGGGCAACTTGGTGGGCATGGTCCTTGTCCCCATTAACATAACCCCAAAACTTGGAAGAAAAGCATTACAGCGTGGCTGAGGATGGATCAGTGCGCTGGGGCTCTGCGCTTGCAGCCAGGCTCGTGCCTCCCACTGACTCGGGCTCTCTGTCCCACAGGCGACGGGCCAGGCTGTGGCTCAGCCTGTGGATTCCGCTCCTGCCCCGAGGGCTACTGCAGCAACGGGGGACACTGCCACCTGCATCCCATCACCTGCACCCCAGCCTGCGCCTGCCCCCCAGCTTTCACTGACCAGCGCTGCATGGTGGCAGGGGGCGATTTTCAGCCGCTGCCCAGTGCAGGTGGGTGTCTGAGCCTAGTGTGGGGATGAACCCCAATCCCACTCGCCCTGATCCTGGGGTGCCAGAGCCACTGTTGTGGCTTTCCCTTGGCAGATCTCCCCCGGAGGAGTGTCCGGCTGCACGTCAGGACACTGCGAAACGCCACTGCCGGGGAAGTCAACAGCACCGTACGTTGCCAGAGGGAATGGGGTTGGGGAGAGGGATGCACCAGCACACCGTGCAGCATAGCAGCTTGGGGTGCCCGTGCCTCCATGCATCCCCGTCTTGCGGGATCCCCAGGCTGGAGGGAGCCAGTGCCAGCCACATGATGCCAGCTGCAGTCATGGCCACGTGCCAGGTCCCTAGCACGTGAACAAAAGGCCAGAGCAGCCCTTGGGGCTCTGCCACGGTGCCCGCATTGCCCTTCAGCCTCTCCCTGTGCCAGTGCCGTCCTGGCCTCCCCTAACGCCCTCCTGTTCCCACCACACCACAGGTCTCAGCCATCCTGGGCTCCTTGGAGATAAAGGCTTTCCAGAGCAACACCAACATCACCCAGATGTGAGTCAGCTGTGGAGTGGCCCTGTGCCCACCCCAAGGAGCTGGTGGGGCAGGATGGGTCATGGGACCACATGGTTTGGGACACCAAGGGCATTTTCCCCAATCCCAGAGTCTGTTTTTCCATCCCTGATGCTGAAAAATCCTTGGAGACACAAGTCCCGTGGTACCTTCCATCTCCTGCCTCATTCCTTCCCCCAAATTGGGAAACTGAGGCACAGCGAGGCTTATTCTTCTGTGATGAAGCAGTGGCTTGGCGAGCAGCCCTGTCTTTTCCCCGCAGGACAGATGGTGATGGCTTCACCTTCGCAGTGGTATCCGAGTTCGCCTATGACAACCACGTCACCGTCATCCGTTTCCTGAACGAGGAGCTGCCGGGGGCCATCATCAGTGCCTTCAACAGGCGGCGGGGGCGGCGGGAAGCAGGCACACCTCTCTTCTTCCAGCGCCTGCACCAGGACAATGTCACCGACCTGGTGAAGCGTGAGTTGCTCCCCGTGCCAAGCTGGGGAGCCCGGGAGGAGCACCCCACTCTCCCCACTGTCCCCATCACCCTGGGGTTTGGGTAACACCTGTAGGGGAAGTGGCACTCCCCACCCCAGTCATGGATCCAGCTCCTGGGGAAACATCACAGGGTGATGCTGCCCCACAGCTGAACCTGTGCCTTCCCTCCCAGTGACAGTTGCTGAGCTGAGGTGGTATTTCCCCTGCGATCTGTACGGCTACAAAGGCTACAGGCTCCACTACATCGGGACCATTGGCTTTGTCTGCATCTCCCCTTGCAAGGCGGGCTACTGCCAGCACGGCGGCTGGTGCCAGCACCTGCCCGAGGGACCCACGTGCAGGTAGCAGCAGCGCTGGGGGCGAACGAGGCCCCCCGGCATGGCCACAGCATCACCCCTCCTCCCTCCCCATCCACAGGTGCATCCCCTTCTCCATCTTCTCCCCCGCCGGCGCCCGGTGTGAGCAGCTGGCCATCAGCCTTGCCGCCTTCCTCGGCATCTTGCTGGGAGCCCTGGCCCTGCTCTGCCTCCTGCTCGCCACCACCTGCCTGGCCTTGCACCTCTGCCGCCAGCACCAGAGGTGAGCCACGGGCTGGACCCACGCAGGGTGGGGTGCTGTGAGCGAGGCAGGGAAAGGGGTTGGGTGTCAGGAAGAAAAACTGGTAGAAAATCCACCTCTGGAAGATCCACCACTGCTGGGACCTGTCTGGCGCAGGCAGGGGTAGCCTGCCATGGGGAATGGGCTGAGCTGGGTGGTCTTTTACCATCTTCCAGCCCCTTCCCCAGTCACCTGCTTCTCAGGGGTGCAATAACGTCAGTGGGTTGAACATTACGTTCCCTTTTCCCCCATGTCAGGGAATATTTGCATTTCTTCCTCATCTGACCCAGTGCTCAGTTACAGACAGGCTTTCTATTTAATTTTAATTTGAATACCACCCAAATGATTTCCACTGCAATTTACATTGTTGTGGAAAGAGTTGATCCTGGAGCAACAAAAAGGTTGTTGCAGGACTGGACCTTGCTCCCCTGCAGAGCAGGGAGTTAGCAGATGGGTGACGAGATGCTGGGGTGGAAGCACCAGCACCTCCTTCCCTCCTCTCCAGCCCTTGCTCCCAGAGTGGTATCCCCGCTCAGGGGAAGCTCAGCGCCCCAAATCCCCCACACTGGTTGGAGCTGTGTTCTGCTCCTGCTGCCAGCCCCGGAGCTGGGAATCTGCGGGAAGCACCTCTGTTCATTTGCAGTTGTGGCAAGGCGAGACATTGTGTGTGCACAGCAACCAGGGCTTTTCCTCCTCTCATAGCCTCATCTTGCCCCCACACTCAGTCACTGCTCCCCACTCCCATCCAACCCAGGGGTCAGGACCAGGCTGGGGCTCTCCTGGACCACCCTGACATGTCATCCCCTTTCTGCTCCCCCCCTTCCTAGCACAAAGGAAACCTTCTGGAGGCCACAGCCCTTCTCCTGTGAGTACATCCCTGCAACACTGCCCCCCCCACCCAGCTCTGCATCACCCTGGTCTTCTTCAAGCTCTGCTCATCTTCCCTGCTCCAGCTCTGACAATGGCAGGAGAGCAGGCAGAGTCCCCCTACCCCCCGGAAAGGCATTGGGAACCTCAGCTCCAGGCCATCGACCCCTCGATCCAGGTCTTCCCAGGGTTTATTGTCTGCCTGAGGAGTTGGGGGGAGGAGGCAGGGAATGGGGGTCTGTGGGCTGGGGACCTGGGAACTGATGTCCTGGCCCTGTGCCTCAAAGATGCTCGGGACCTGTGTTTTGTCCCAGAGCATCAGGGATACTTTGGCTGGTGTTGGGGCCTGCATCACTGTCTCAGCTCATCACAAAGAGCAGAACCAACAGCATGGCATGGACTGTCCCTCCTTTACAGATAAGGATCCAGAGACCCCACGTCAGGGCTCTGAGCCAGCCCCCACAGCAGCCCTAGCTGCCAC